CAGACAATACGAAATGTGAAGACGAGCAGGCAGACAAACCAGACCTCCGATTTCCAGGGGACATGCGCACTCTGAAAGGGGAGGGAGATGTCCACGGTTGACTGAATTCGAGACGACACCTGTTTCTGTCTTTACAAGTCGCAAGCGGACATCGCTTCTCGCCCGAACTCGTCAAAAACATGTTGCTTTCTTCAAAATAAAAGTTGTATTCTCACTGTCAAGTTTTATCTTTAAATATCGACGGCTTGCTGCCTTGGTGTATTTTAATGAGCAGCACCAGATAGTAAGTTGACAGTACACAGTGGCAGATAAACTAAACCCCCAGTTTCAGAAACGTTCAGAAATCTGCCTATGAACCGAAAACTCGACCGTTTTGTTGTCTCATTGTTGAATATTGGGTTGTACATGGGTATATATGAACAAGTAATAGGTTAATTCCATGCTGAAAAAAAAGAAAACACGTTTAGGTCGTGCAGCCTTCTTCATATAGCCACCTGAACTATGGGAATATATATGTTTTGCAAATTATACAAACACGTTTTTATGGACCAATAAAAATCTAAAATCTGCAGCAGTCTTTCTTGGTGGCTTCGTCTTCAAAATGTCTACTTTTTGGAAAGCAAGTTCGGTGTAGTTGTCAAAAGCGGTGCAGGGGAAAAAAATCTGGTAGTTCAGCTTCCGACAGAAGGGACTGTTTTCTAGTAAATCGAAAAAAAGGTCTCCGCAGAACAAAATATGCACTTTTTCTTAGCTCGTCAAAGCACGCGTGTTACGCCATAAAAGATCTGTGCCAAGAAGTTTGTGTGGCTTAGCAGGATATATACTCTATCATGAGGACTGCAGGAAGTTTGGGATTCTTGCTACATTCGCGAAAGCACATCTGAACTGTTAAGACACTGTTTTCCCAAGACAGACCTGTTGCTGGGCGCTGTTACAGTCTCTGACTACACTTCAATAAAGGCTTTAGTGCCGCAGTCCACTCGCTTCTCGCGATTTGAAGAAAGAAACACAGTTTCCAGTGTTAATGTAGCACACAGGAGCTGGTTATAAACACAGGATCGCACCTCCGGGAGGGGACAAAACTGGGGTAAGTGATGTGATTTCGTTCTTCTTCAATTTGACTCTTTTACTGCTTTTCATGTGGGCAAGAGTGTTGAAAAACAAATTAAGCTTCAGCCAAACTGCCATCCAGTATACAGGCTAGTATACAGATATATTGTGTGGCTTTCTTAACGGTGCGGCAAATGTTTCGGTCTTTTTTTTTTACTGTTTTACTGCCTTTCATGTGGACAAGAGTGTTGAAAAACATTAAGCTTCAGACAAACTGCCACCCATCGGCTTTAGTATATATTGTGTGGATTTTGGTCACCAAAAACATTTCTGTTGTATCCACTGCAGCCCCGCAAGACACGCGGGTCTACTAGATTATCGATGACGCATTTCTTTTTGGTATTGTGCCCCTCCCAAAAGTTTTCTGTCAGTATTGGACTATCACACTATTTAAATAAAAAATTATGCAAATTATCGAGCAGTAAATCTGCAAAAACGATCGCAGCGCCAAGTTAGCGTTAGCCGAGGCGTATTTAACCCACTTGCCCGGCTTGTGATACCGGAGCCTCAACAGCGCGTCAGCTTCAGGGGTCGAAACCAAACGAGTTCTGGCAGGAAACGTCTTTCCTGAGTCGCTTAAACGCCTCGCCCTGCTTTCGAGCCTGAAGGACAGTAATCTTCACCACCTTCTGCTCCTGCGTCTCCAACAGGGGCAGAAAAATGGACCTTGTTCTCTAAGCCAACAAATAACAACAAACATGGTTCTGGACAACCTAAACCATTTTTGTCAACTTACCTTTTCTTGCTAAAAGGTTAGAAAGTGCCGTTGCAGTTAATTTAACAGTTACTCATTACGAAAAAACGTCAAATCTTCTCACTTGCACAGAAACTGCCCTGGGGAAAGGCAGTCCCAATTTCTCAGACCGGGTATTGGACCTCCATAACAAAATGAAGTAATGGATTATTTTGCAAGGTTTTACAAATTTCTCAAAAAATGGGCAAAATCATGAGCTTTGTGAAAGTACTGTAAAGTTGCCATCTTCTCACTGGCAGATGAGAAAGCAGGGTCTCACCAGGGGCGAGAGTGAGAGTTTGTGTGAACTGGGACATACTGTATAAGCGGCTCTGTACAGAATGAGGCATCGTGGGGACCGGTGTGAATACTTTTGCAAGGCCCTGTTTGTGGGTCGGACATGTGGAAGAGTATGATGAGCTGAATTATCATTTAGAGATCCCTTTAAATTACTGTACTGTATGTTGAGATACAGTTGCAAGAAAAAGTTTGTGAACCCTTTGGAATTACCTGGATTTCTGCATTAATTACTGATCCTCAACTAAGTCACTATAATACACAAACACAATCTGCTTAAACTAATAACACAAGCAATTGGACTTCTTCTTGGCAATATTGAACACATTATTAAGTAATTTACAGTCCAGACTGGAAAAAGTATGTGAGCCCTTGTAATTTAGTAACTGGTAGAACCTCCTTTAGCAGCAATAACCTCTACCAAATGTTTCCTGGAGCTGCTGGTGAGACTTGCTCAAAGGAGGAATTTTAGACCATTCCTCCTTACAAAACTGTTTCAGTTCAGTGACATTTCTGGGATTCCTTGCGTGAACAGCTCTCTTCTGGTCATGCCACAGCATCTCAATTGGGCTGAGGTCTGGACTCTGACATGGCCATTCCAGAACACGAATTTCCTTCTGTTTAAGCCATTCTGTAGTTGATTTACTCCTGTGTTTCAGGTCATCGTCTTGTTGCATCACCCAACTTCTATTAAGCTTCAGGTGACAGGCTGCTACCCTGACATTCTCCTGTAAAATTTCTTGATACAGTTTTGAATTCATTGTTCCTTCTATGAGGGCAAGCTGTCCAGGCCCTGAGGCAGCAAAGCAGCCCTAAACCATGATGCTCCCTCCACTATGCTTCACAGCTGGGATAAGGTTTTGGTGTTGGTGTGCAGTGCTTTTATTCCTCCAAACATAGCATTGCGCGTTTCTGCCAAAGAGTTCAACTTTTCTCTCATCCATCCACAGAACATTGTCATGGAAGACCAGGTGGTCTTGTGCAAACTTGAGATGTGGAGCAATGTTTTTTTTTTTTGGAGAGCAGTGGTTTTCTCCCCTTAACACCATTCTTGTTCAGCCGCAAAATCAAGAGAGTTCTGCAGGTCCTTTAGAAATACTGTTGTAGCCTTTTCCAACTTTATGCATCTCTACAATTTTTCTAAGGTCCTCTGATATTTATTTTGATCAGGGTATGGTTCACATGAACAGCTCTTTCTTGAGAAGAGCAGATGCTGTCAGTAACCAATCTTTGCTCACACCTGAAGAAGGCTCCACAGCCGAAACGTTGTGTTCTCTTTCTTCTTTTTTTCAGCATGGAATAAACCTATTACTTGTTCCTTTGCAGCCTACGCATGCTGACGCAGCTACCCACCTGAACTACTACCAATCTTTGTGTGCCTTTTTTATAGGGAAGGGCACCTCCAACCCACACCTCCAATCTCATCTCACTGATTGGAAGACCTGACTCCAGTTAGCTTTGGGAGAAGTCATCAGCCTAGAAGTTCTCATACTTTTTCCAGCCTGGACTGTGAATGTTTAAATGATGTGTTTAGTACTGACAAGAAGTACAATTGTTTGTCTGCTATAAATTTGGCAGATTGTGTTTGTCTATTGTTGTGACTTAATTGAAGATCAGACCACATTTTTTTGAGTAATTAATGCAGAAATCCAAGTAATTCCAAAGAGTTGACAAACATTTTCTGGCAACTGTATCTTTAAATCATTTCCAGATAACCATATGGTATTTAGGTATTTAGAAATACCTTTTAGATATATCTTTTACAGACACCTTTAAATCATTTGGTGATATCTTTACATCCTTTGGAGATGTATTAAAATCATTCTGAGATATCGGTGTGACTGAGGGATGGCAGACTGACTCCAGGCTGTGACCACACGTGCCACACAAGTAGCAGTTGCCCGGGGTAAAACTCACCCTCAGAGCTCACGAACACCTTCTTCCTCTCTGATCGCAGACGCAGCTCCATCAGCCCTTGAAGATGAGCAGCTCAGTCAGTACTGACAGAGGGATGGTGATCATCTCCCAGGTTTACCCCCAGGGGCAGGATACGCTGCCTGCTTTTGCCCCACAGACACAATCCGTGCTCCCCGCCAGTCACTTCCCCCAGATGTCCTCGTCCCTGAAGAGGTTTCAGAAGGGAGAGCCCAAAGCTCTTGGGGTGAGAGTGAATAGTGCTGTGGGCTCTGCTGGCCCTCTCCAGTGCTTCATGTCTCTCCTGTGTTCATCTGAAGGTGTTTCCCTCTAAACACCCTTGACTTCTTCTCATCAAGGTCTCTCTTGTTCCACATGTTAGTTATGAAGGGAACAAACACATATGTTTCTATGTCCCGTATGGAAACATTGTGCAGGCTCTGTGCTGAAGATTTTATCTATGCCTTCTCTTCCTTTCACTGCTTTTACAGGTGGTCCAGATCATGGTTGGACAGCTCATCCTCATTTTAGGAGTCTTCATGATATTTCAAAGGTCTTTGTCAGTGTATACTGGCGTCCCATTCTGGGGACCCATGGCGGTGAGTGGCTTTTTATATCTGACATTAAAAGAGTCATTATAATGAAGATGTCCCTAAGATGAAGTTGTGAATTAAATATCTAAAAGCTAATGCCTTGATCATCTTTTCTGGTTGAAATAATGGCCCTATTTTAGAATCTGTTAGTTTTCAAATTCTAGTTTTGTACACAAGTTGTTTTTGAAGGTTTTTATATGCTCCCAAACCCTAAATATAAACATATCTCAGACTGTCCAGTGACCTCCGATTCCAGATGGGGATGAAACCTGAGGAAATTTTCCTGATCATGTAAGAGCAGCTATTGAGATGGACAGAGCACTTGAAATTGTGATGCCTGTGATCCAGTGGTGTTATCACTGTATTTCCCTGTGATGATCAGGGCCAAACCTACTGGATTGCAACTGTGTTATAATAATTAACTTTATTTTATACAGTGCCTTTAAAGGTGGGTTCTCAAAGCGCTTTACAGAATGACAACAATAAATAAAATAATACACAAGATAAAACACAACTACAATATACCACTGAACTCTCTTCACCTCCAAATGCTCATAGATAAATCAAAGTATGTCATCCAACCAAAGACATGGTATTATCACCCTCTATACTTCGGACTTTAAGTACAACTCAAAGTCATGCCACCTGCAAAAGTTCTCAGATGACTCTGCAATTGTGGGATGCATCAAGGGTGAGCAGGAGGAGGAGTACAGAGGACTGGTCAGCAGCTTTGTGGAGTGGTGTGGAGAGAACCACTTGGAACTGAATGTAACAAAGACAAAGGAACTGGTGGTAGATTTCAGAAGGAAAAAGGTCAAACCTACTTCTGTCTACATCCATGGGAGTGGCGTGGAGATGGTGGACTCGTACAAGTACCTGGGAGTGCACATCGATGATAGACTGGAATGGTCTAAGAACATCGAGGCCATCTACAAGAAGGGACAGAGCCGACTTTACTTCTTGAGGAGGCTCAGGTCCTTCAGTGTGTGTAGTAAGATGCTACATATGTTCTTTCTGTCGGTGGTAGCAAGCGCTATTCTCTACGCAGCGGTATGCTGGGGCCCTAGGATTAGAGCAGGGGATTCTAACAGACTGAACAAGCTCATCAGGAGAGCAAGCTGTCATTGGGTCTGACCTGGACCCCCTGGAGGTAGTGGCTGAGAGGAGAATGGTGTCCAAACTAGAGGCCATCATGGACAACATCTCCCATCCCCTCTATGACAGGCTTGTAGAAATGAAGAGCACGTTCAGGAATAGACTGATACATCCACTGTGCGACAGGGAGCGCTACAGGAGGTCATTCTTGCCTTCTGCCATAAGACTGTACAACGCATCCACTGTGTGTCTGGGCAGAGGCAACATTGACAGTGACCTGTTTCTGGACTGAACACATCTACACATCCACTGCTACATCTGTTCTTTTCTTTTCCCGTTTACAACCGTTTTTGTGCAATATATGCCAGGGACCCGTGCAATACATTTATATTTATATTATATATCTATATTTATTTCATATGTGCAATATGATTGTTCTGCGTACTGTTCTGTTCTAGTTTGTTCTTTGTGTGTCCTGGACTGTGAGTAACTCTTTTAGTGCACCCCTCACTGTACTAATTGTATTGTATGTATTGTATTATTATTATTGTATCATTCGTTATACTGTGTCTGTGTTGTCTGTGTTAAGCTGCTGTTGCACTGCAGTTTCCCTCACGGGATCAATAAAGTATCTATCTATCTTATACTAACAATATAATAATATAATAACAAAGACATATTATTAGACAATTCCTGTATTAGAGGGTCTGTCCACCTCCACTGGTGATTGTAGCTGCTACATGTTGCTGCATGAAGTCCAGTAGATGTCTAACAGATGTCCAGGAAAGTGTGACTGGTCTTCTCACACGACATGGAATGTGCTTGCTATCCTGTGGGCGAAGCACCTTCTTGTAGTCGGATTACAAGCCCTTTGTTTTATATTAATTGCGAGACACTTTCTGTAAACTCTCCTTTGTCACTTACAGCGGATTTATTTCCCACAGTGAGGTGCACTAAGGAGAAAGCCTGGTCTGCTACTACTTTATCATCTTCAGAAGTCATGGGTCTTAGCCTGTGTTGGGCCATTCCCATTATTTTAGACAGGATGAGTCACTCCTGTGGAACGTGGAACATACTGGACTAGTCTCTGGGTTTTGACAGAGCAGTGAAGATCTAGGAGAAGATCACAAGCTCACATAGTAAAAGAATGATGAAACTGATCCTAAACCTTTTTTTTCTCTTCAGTACATCACCTCTGGTGCTTTAAGTATTGCAGCTGATAAAAAACTGAAGCCTTCTCTGGTAAGTAGAAAAGGACACTTTGTAAATTAAAGCAAGATCTGGGACTCTTGTTCCATCTCCACAGCTGGAATCAAGGCTGGAGTCAGGATTGCAGGAGCTGTAGGCTTGTTGTGTGATTATCACAGTAAAATAAAACATTATTAAATAACACTTGATTATCTAGTATTTGACCTGTCCATTTGAAAAAATGGAAGCCTTTGAAACCTGAAATGGCCTCATGGGTGTGTCTTTTTACAGGTCAAGGCTGCACTATCTATGAATATCGTGAGTGCAGTGGGTGCTGGCATATCAATAATCGTTAACTTTCTTCAAATTCTTTTCGATCATTCCTATTATACAACGGTAAGTTTTTTGTTTTTTTTTTCTTTTATTTGTATATTGAGGCATATGATGTCACTAGATTGTTTTTTAACACAACTGCAAGACATTTTGCTTTCTCAGAAGTACACCATTTCAAATCAATTGGGAGTTTGGTCAATGTCAGTTCGTCTAATATTGAAGAAAGGTGGAATGTGGAACTCATCTTAGAGTCTCATATCCCCTTTATGAAGGCTCTAAAATTAGAGACAGTGAATTCCCCTAATTAAAAAGCGGTAATTCTCTATTCAGTTGCACATAGTGCTGTGAGGAAGTGATCTATTCTGGACCAGAAAAGCATATCGTGATTAATGATGAGATGCACATCTTGAACAAAATTGCCTGATACTTCAGTTTCAGGATAGAGGTGATGCTAAGTTCAGCTTATTCATTTGCAATTTGACTCACATCCAGTATTTTACGATAGGGAGGCAGGGAGTGCTCAGCACTGCTGCCTTGCAGCACTGCGGCCCCAGGTTCAATTCTGGATCTGGGGTGCTGTCTGTGTGGAGTTTGTATGTTCACTCCATGTGTGTCCAGGTTTCTCCTGGGTGCCACCATTTCTTCCCATATTACTAAGATCTAATGGTAGGTTAATTGGCTTCTGGGAAAGTTAGACGTTGTGTGAGTGTGTGCTTGTGTGTCAGTGTGTGACCAGTGATGGACTGGCATCCCATCCATTCCACACAGACATTTGAACTAATGTTCAAAATCCTTTTAATGGATGATCATGTTTTTTTATATTTTAAAGTGCATCAATTACACACTCATGAATCCTGTCTTAATATATATAATTTAAAAATGTATCTTGTAGGAGTTTAATTTCAAAGCCATCACTGGAAGTGCCCTAATTCTCTCAGTCCTGGAGTTCTGTGTTGCCATCTCTAGTTCTGTCTACGGGTGCAAGGCTGTGTGCAACAGTGATCCAGCGGTAAGAAAGATTTATAATGATTGTGTGGTTTCACCATTAGCTGGTTATACATTCAACTTCCTTATTCATACACGAGAGGCGTACTGTAAGTAGGTTTTTACTGAACCACAAAAGCAATGACTGCAGTCAGGCATAAGACTTTCACCCAGGCACATACAAAGAATCTCATTAAAGCAGATTAAGAAATTAATGAAATTAAATTTTCTGAATGAATGGAGTGCAGTAGATTGCCAGGCCTGTTTGTTAAATCTACCTTGTCCTATTGGTATGGCCAAGTCTGAACTAGGATTTTCACTATGAACTCTAATAATCCTCTCTCATGAGAAACGTTCACTTTGGCTGTAGTCCTTGGAGCCTGATGTCAAAAGCTGAAATGAAAACAGTCAATTTTGACAATTAAAGAAAAGGTTCAATTGGACCCATGACCCAGCATTTGGCCATACCTCCCTGTAAATCAACAATTTGAAATATACAGAAGACAGAATGATAGGCAATATTACCAATCAGCCAAGACCTGATCAGACAAGAAAGACATCTGCAGCTGGTGACAGCAAAACTGCTGTCAAGGAAAACCCTGACATAACTGTCAGTGAAACATCCTCCAGAGTGCAGGAGTGAAGGAACCAAAAGCCACAATTCACTGATGACTGAGTAACAGAATTCCAGAGACTGCTGTACAGAGGCAAACAACTCCTTTTACCAAGAAAAGAAAGAACCGCTCGCACAGCGGGGACCAGACTGGACCGACCCTGTTCAGAGGGGTCCAGTCTGGAAGAGCAGGGCGCGTGAGGCCAAAAGAGAACAAGAACTGAGTGTGTGAGAAAGGGTGTATGTGTGCCTGCCCTGTGAGGATACGTGATGGGACAGGCAAAAGCAAAAAGTTAACCTTACGTGGGTGCAGTCCCCTCTGGGACAGCAGGTGTAAACTCCCCCTATTGGGGATGTCCCTGCTGGTCCCCTTGGGGGGTGTCCAGTGTGCCTTTATAGGACCTGCCCCAGCTGGGGCTCATCTAGAAGCCGGGATAGCTGGGACTACAAAGGCAAGGCGTCGCCCTTCTACCAGGGCTCCGCCTCCACACTGGACACGCCCCTGCCTCATGCCACAGCACCTCAGCTCTCTGACCTCATTGGTACCAATTTCTTTCCATCTTGTCTCCTTGCAGCCTGTGATTGTGATCCAGTACACGGCCCAACCTCAGCCTGTGACCCAGAATGCCAGCGACACCCAATACCAATTAGTGTCAAACACGGATGTGTCCAGTATTCCCAAGATCCCTCCCCCAGCTTATGCGGAGTGATGGATAATTCGCAGTAGCTCTGGCAGTCAGTCAATAGCCCGTGTGTCAGTGTTAACTGAAGACACCAAAGTTTTTCAAGTCTCCCATCATATTTCTCAACCAAAATAACAAAATAGGCCTTCAGCAGTAAGCAGCTTTCAAGCAAAAATAATAATATTTCTTCTACTAGTATACAGGCAATGTTCCTGCTGTTTATGACATTTTTTATAGTATTTGCCTGCATATGTTTCAGTGGTTGTTTTCAATGTTTCATCGGCAACTGCAGGAAGTCTGGTCTCTTCTCTGTTTTTTTTAATCTCATAACTAAAAGTAGTTCTCCCCCCATAACGTTTATTCAAAGTGGAGAAAGTGCATTATCTCTGTGTCAGTCTGGATAGACGAATTCTTTCGTTGGCCAAACCTGTGTAATCAGACTCCTTTTCCTTCGTTTTTCTTGCTGTTTCTTCCCAATCTTGTACCTTTCTTTTGTATTTGGGGGAAATGTATTATGTTATGTTTATAAATAAAAATGTCCTCACAAAAATACAGTTTGCTGGTTATTTTGTTAAAAAAGGGGTAAAAACAGTTTTTTTGTGTGTAGATGAAGCTTTAATATCTTAGACAACAATAGTGGAAAGAGCAGTTCAGTTCTCTGTCGGATTCAGAGTAGTGACAGTATTCAGAGACAGCACTTACTGTACCACAGTCCCCTGGAGCAGGATTTTCCTGCTCGTCTTTGAAACGATAGTACAACTTTGTTTCTAATGCCGTATTATATTTTCTGTGTCATGCTGACTGAATGAGAACAAGTGTACTTTAGATGAGGTCTTACTAGTAAATTGTAAGCATAACTTCCCAGGATTTAAATTCCACACTTTGAGCTCTGTACTTTGCACTTATTAATGTTGAATTTTATTTGCAAAGTGTGGGAACAATCCCAGATTTTGTCAAAACATTTTTGCAACTGCTGTTTATGTGGGTGCCACTTCCCCTAGTATCATTTAGTATCATCAACAAATGGGGGACATTTGTTTTCGGATAGAATCCAACATGGCAGTATTGCTGAATATTTTTTAGTTTTCGAACTGTGGTACAATAGCCAACACAACTATACTGCTGAATATTGCCAGCAGGGCTGAGACAAAAAAAGTTCTTTCTTTCAAATACTACAACAGAAGAGGGACAGCATAGAATGAAGTAAAGTGTGATAAAAAAAATGAGAAACAGATGAAAAGGACAGGGCAGATAAATTAATATTTCACTGAAGTGTCCAGCAGGGAGCATGTAGGAACATGCCAAGCAGAGTTTAGTTTTCACAGAGAAGAGGCAGTGCCACAAGTATTAGAAGCACTCAGGAAAATGTGGGTTTTCCTCTCATTATGCTTAAGGAAAACAGACTGAGAAAGCACCTGGAGAGGATAATATCCACCTTAGGCAATTTCCGAACATTACATATATCAGTCACCAACATTGAAACTATTAATAGAAAGTGAGATATACTGATCTAAAGCTTCCAATGAAAAATAATGTTCATCTTGGCAACATTATTATCTTCTTGACCAGCAGTTCCCAACGTTTTTCGGGTGCACAGACCCCACTGCGCTTTCCAGACATCTGGCAGACCACCGGACACCACTAGTTCTGTTTCTTGTTTAAATGTCACTTTGTTCAATGTGAAATTGATTGATTCTAATATCGAAGTTTATTGATTAATGATCATCATTTTCGCTAGCGTTGTATATCGCTCTCGTATCCAGCAGTATGCTGGCCCTTTGTTTGTATTGCTTCTGCATAACCTTCAAGATATGCGAAAGTCACAGGAGAGCTGATGTACTGTACTCTCTATTAAACCCATTCCTGCGAGGAGGTTTAGAAGATGTTAAGTTGACCTTGGCGAAAGCAACTTGGCGGTAGCTGCATCAAAACCTATAGATAAGAGCTGGTAGAAACCAGCCTGATTAAAACCTCTAAGGTTATACTGTATCAGCCAGACAGGATCAAGTAAGGGACACCAACGCATCATCCATTTGTCCTGGGGTTGCCATAGTAAATTCCGTAGTTGGCCATAGGTGCCTGTGATGAAGATGAGGAAGACGACGAGCAATATTATGGGATGTTGTCTGATATAATCTAGGAAGGTAGGTGGGATGGCTAAATGCTAATGAAATACTGCACTCTGCAGTGTATTAATACAGTAGAGGTGGGATCTCCACCTGAAAGTGTTTTCAATCCCAGGTGCTTGCTGAGAATTCTGTACTTTATGGAACTCCCGTTATACACAGCGTGAATAAAGAAAGACGATTGTCCTTACGACTGTCTCTGGTCCGATTCGTCTTCGGGACTGTCCTGACTACTTGCCAACAATCCTCACAACATGATGTGACAGTGGAACACACCTCCCACTGCACTCAGCGGCGTGTGGGAATGTGCAGCTTCCACACCTGACGCTAATCGGCGCTGCGATTTAAGATCCCCACGCGGCCGCAGACGGCGTTCACGGCAGAACCGGATGTATTCCCCTTATCGGCGGCACAAACTAATTTCTCCGCTTAGAGGAAGAGTTCTCTCCTGTACCAGAGAACCGAACCCTCTGCAGATGAATACACACCGGCAAACCGCACGGAAAACAACACGCGCTCTGCCAGTGCTCAGGCAGCCTCCTATCTCTACCGACACTATCACAATGATAACGCATAATCTGCACTCTTTAAACATATTCAGACTCCTTTAAATACCTTATTCACTACCTCAACTCCTATATTTGCAACGCACAGCAGTGCGTGTGACTGAATAGGTATGTTTTGAGTACTTTCCGAGATGACTGATGCTGTTTCACTGCTCCCAAAGAAGGGATGTCAGGTAAGAGTGCAGAGAGACTTATTCTCCAGGACGAGGTGAGGAGCAGGGTAGTCTGGGAGGACCCTGGCGTACAGCAGCTGCTCCACAAGATCCTCACCAGGAGCTGGGTTAGAGAATGTAAAGGAAAAAGATGTTCCTCTAAAATTGAACAATCTACAAGTGAAACCTCATTTGAGCAATGTGCCACCTTGGCCACCATGTTACAATATTTGGCTGTTCTAGAATTCAGTCAGAATTCAAACTGAACTTTTTTTTTGTCCTCAGTTACTTCATACACCCTCCAAGTCCCACAGCTCTGCAAAGGAATTAGTCATGTTGATCAACTGTTTAGAGCAGTGGCAGCTTCAGCTGACATCTCTAAAACCAATCACTATGATTAAGCACTGTTGTACAGATACATTCTCATTTAGAGGTAGCATATCAGGTCTGTTCTGTTTCAGATTATCCAGCTGATCTAGGGCCAGCTGACAGCTGCATTTTTTGAAATAAGCCATGTTGTGACTTTTGCATATATTTTATGCTTCTAAATAAAGGCCCGTGGTTGAACTCATTGTTTAACTTCCTTCTTGAGCTTACATGCCAAGGAATCAGTCTGCATCCAAATAAAGCATGAGGCCTCCTGTTACTGCTACACTGTTCCCAGAAATGAAGAGTCACAACGGATGAGTCCATAATAACCTCATCTTAAATCTTAAAGATCACTGTCCCAGTGGAAATACAGGACATGTTGCTCCTTAGCTTTCACTACAACACTGCCCTAGTAATTTATTGAACCACTGTCTCTTTGTGTTGTATTCCCATTTTTTATTATATCAAAATACTGTTTTTCTTTTATATTTGCTAGTTCTAGTTTTCTAAACCATTATTTTGATTGCTAGTTTTTTCTTTTAGTCTTACAGATCTTTGGGTAATGGATTTAAGCTGAATTAGCGAACGATACTGTTATTCTTAAGGGTGTTGATGATTCACTTTAGCACAACTCGGACTAGAAGTCTAGTTTATTCACCTGTACTTTAACTGAATAAAATGTGAAACTTCTGTGTAGAAATGGAATGACGACGAGCCTCTCTGTCTTTCCACTTGGATGCTCACTGGCGCTAATGACGGTGATGGTAGGGTAAATTCTCTGACCAATTGCCAACCCCTAAATTTAATACCGTTAGTTGCTGTTTGAAGATGAGTTTTAAATTAGCTACAGAGGGTATTCTGCAGTGTTTGAATTTAAACATGTACCGTGATCTGTTGCTCTGTCTGTAAAAATAGATATCACTCCCATTTCTGCCAAACAAAATCCTTTAAATTGGGCATTCCTGAGGAAGAGGGAGTTGAGATTAAGGCCTTCTACCTTCTTGACCCTTTACATTGGTCCTTGCATCATTTTGCGAAGCCTTGGTCCATCTTGGTCCAACACTAACAATAATAGCTACGTGAGTCACTGATGGAACCTTGTGGTTTTAGGAACTGAGATTTTATCCTTTAGGATGGGCACAGCTACGCATATACTGTACCACACTCATGGGTTCAATCACAGCTCTCTACACTGTGTTTTGACCCTCGTGGTCAAAGTCTAAGGGAGTTCAGCCTAATAGGATGAACTGCAGTGGAGTCTTATTAAGCAACTGGAGAACAAAGGACTCACTTTTCTGCCACAGGTGCAATCCCCTGGCTCCTGATGGATCACCACTTGTCTGGACACAGCTGGATGATCAGACGAGAATAGAGTCGCCTTATGTCGCCCTATGAGGAATTAATCCAGGACACATAAAGCAGTCCTACTCTCACAAACAGTGTTGATGGATATTCCATAGCCAATGCCTTGGTAACATCTCTTCAGAGAGCCAGCACACTGTCACTATACATGAGCACCCATCCATCCAATCTCTAACCACTTCATCCAATGCAGGATCGAAGGGGAGCTGAAGCCTATCCAGGCAAACGACAGGCAGAAGGCAGGATACACCTTAGACAGGACGCCAGTCTGTCGCAGGGCAGACTGACATGGACATACGAACCCTCACACCAGGGCCAGTTTTCCCAGAAACCAATAGACCTATCAGTAGGTCTTTGGACTGTGGGAGGAAACCAGAGCACCCACACAAAGCCCACATGAACCCTGGGGAGAACATATAAAGTCCACACAGACAGTACGCCAGGTCCGGAATCGAACCCAGGACCCCAGCTCCAAGGCAGCAGTGCTAACCACTGCACCACTCTATACTTGAGTGTTGGTTTGAAGGGAGAGTGCCACATACTGGTCCTCTAAAGCCCCTTACAGCAGGAGTGAGGTTTACTCCAAAAGTTTCCCATCCCAGAATGAACAAGGTGCAGTCCTGCTTCTGAGAGCTGATGAGATCTGGTGACAAGGTACCACCTCACCTGCCCAAGATGGATATGTGTAATAATAATAATAATAATAATTGCTTACACTTATATAGCACTTTTCTGGACACTCCACTCAAAGCGCTTTACAGGTAATGGGGATCCCCTCCACCACCACCAGTGTGCAGCCCCACCTGGATGATGCAAATGCAGCCATAGTGCGCCAGAA